GGCAATCCCCTCACTACCATCACTCACGTCACCCCTTGTGTAAGCCTTTCCCTCTCTGGTAACCACTGTGAGCAGATCGAACTGTTGATTATTGACTCCCCTAAGGCCCCGTTAATTTTAGGACATCCTTGGTTGCTGAAACACAACCCACAGATTGATTGGGTCAATAATTCTATTTTAACCTGGAGTCAGTCTTGTCATGTGTCATGTTTGGGTGCTGCTTTTCCAGCTGTCTCTGTGTCTTGTGTTTCTCAGGTGGATCCCGCTGACTGTACTGCGATCTTTGTGCGGTTTTCAGTAAGTCCCGAGCCACCTCTCTACCTCCGCATCGCCCCTACGACTGTGCCATAGACCTTCTCCCGGGCACTTCTCCGCCTAAGGGTCGTTTATATTCCCTTTCCGGTCCTGAAAGAGAGGCCATGGACGGGTATATACGTGAGTCACTTCAGGCTGGGCTCATTCGTCATTCCTCCTCTCCCGCCTTTTCTTCATTCAGAAGAAAGACTGCGCCCTACGCCCTTGTATTGTTTACAGAGGTTTGAATGACATTACTGTAAAGAACAGGTACCCCCTACCTCTAATGTCTTTTGTTTTTTGAATTATTGCAGGGAGCTCGGGTCTTCACCAAATTAGACCTCCGCAACGCCTACCATCTGGTGCGCATTCGGGAGGGGGATGAGTGGAAGACGGCATTCAACACCCCCTCGGGACACTACGAGTATCGGGTTCTTCCGTTTGGTCTGACCAATGCTCCGGCCGTTTTTCAGGGTCTCATCAATAGCGTTCTGGGTGACATGATTAATCAGTTCGTCTTTGTGTATTTGGATGATATTCTGATTTTCTCCCCTTCTCTCCACTTACACACTCAGCACGTTAGACGGGTCCTCCAGCGCCTATTAGAGAACCAGTTGTTCGTCAAGGCGGAGAAGTGCAAATTCCACGCCGAGTCTGTTACATTCCTTGGCCATATCATCTCTACCAGGGGGATTAAACCAGACCCTGCTAAGATAGAGGCTGTCGCCAAGTGGTCAGTCCCCGACTCCCGTAAGGCCCTGCAGCGGTTCCTGGGTTTTGCCAACTTATATCGGCGATACATCAGGAATTTCGGTCAGATCGCTGCTCCGCTAACGGCATTAACCTCCACCAAGGTGTCCTTCAGGTGGTACCAGGATGCTCAGGTAGCCTTTGACACTTTAAAGTCCCGTTTTGTCTCTGCACCTGTTCTGTTGGTTCCAGATCCTGAGTCCCAGTTCATTGTCGAGGTTGACACATCGTACGTCGGGGTTGGCGCAGTTCTGTCTCAGCGATCCCTCCGCGACGGGAAGGTGCACCCGTGTGCGTTCTTCTCTCGCCCTCTCAGCCCTGCAGAACGTAACTATGACATTGGCAATAGAGAACTGTTGGCGGTGAGATTGGCCTTGGGGGAGTGGCGTCACTGGTTGGAGGGGTCAGCACAGCCCTTCTTGGTCTGGACGGATCACAAGAATCTTGAATATATCCGTTCGGCCAAGAGGCTGAGCTCGCGTCAGGCCCGCTGGGCGCTTTTCTTTGGCCGATTCAGTTTCACCCTCTCGTACCGGCCAGGGTCCAAGAACATCAAGCCCGACACTCTCTCACGCCTGTTCGGGGCTCCGGAGGGGGAGCTTGCGGCCGAAGCCATCCTTCCTGAAGGGGTGGTGGTCGGGGCTCTTTCTTGGGGTATCGAGCGGTGAGTAGAGGAGGCCGGTCGAGGGGTGCAAGTGCCAGGGAAGTGCCCGGCGGGCAGGTTGCCGGTGCCGGCTGTGCTGCACCCTGAAGTCCTTCAGTGGGGTCATGCGTCCAGACTGGTCTGCCATCCAGGGATTCGGAGAATGTTGTTTGCCATCCGTCAATGCTTCTGGTGGCCCACACTGGCCGCAGATGTCAGACAGTTTGTGTTGGCCTGCCCCACATGCGCCCAATGTAAGCCAGTGAATCGCCCTCCCGATGGTCTGCTTCACCCTCTTCCTGTCCCTTCCCAGTCCATGGTAACATATCGCCCTTGATTTTGTCTCTGGCCTTCCCCCATCGAAGGGTAACACTGTGATTCTCACTGTGGTGGATCGCTTTTCCAAGGCGGTTCATTTCATTCCCCTGCCCAAATTGCCCTCCGCCCACCTCCCGGTTTTGGAAAGAATTTTGTAGACAGATCGGGGCCTCTGCAAGTCTGTCTTCCGGTTTCCATCCTCAGACCAATGGGCAGTGCGAGCGGGCCAACCAGGATCTCGAAAGAATGCTCCACTGTCTGGCATCCAACAATCCGAATTCCTGGTGCCAACAGCTCTCCTGGATAGAATACGCGCGTAACTCCCTTCCAGTGGTGGCTTCGGTATGTTCCCTTTTGAATGTTCTGTGGGATATAAACCGCCTCTGTTTCCATCACAGGAACCCGATGCTGCGGTTCTGTCCGCCCTGGCTTTCGTTCAGCGCTGCCGCTGCACCTGGGAGAAAGTCAGGAGGGTTTTGGTCCGAACCTC